TTTTTTTTTTTTTTTTTTTTTAATGCGCAATTCTTTCTGATTTCTCCTGGCAGGGTATTGTTTCCACTTCCTGTCCTGTCCTCCAGTGTGAGGCCTGATGGTATGTTTCCCCACCTGTGAGGTTGGGCGCAAGTATCCCTTGGGCAGAGACTAAGCATCAGCCCAGCAGTCTAATATGTAGGGGTCTTCCCAGACTCTGGCCAAAATGAACATAAAATGCACTTCATCTTGGTGTTTGAGGAGCGAGAGCTACTTGTGAGCAAGTGACAATTACTTGGAGTATTGTGTACTTGCTCATCTGTAAAGTGGGGATGATGATAGTGACATCTTTTACATAGAGCATAGTGCATGTGAACAGTTTAGGGCACAGCCTGGACCCTCAGGAGTTGTGGATAAGTGAGAGCTGTTGGAGGAGGCTATTACGGTTTTGCTGCTCATGGTTGGCCCTTGGTATAAGATTGTGCCACTGGCCATCTGAACCTGCCTCAGATGACAGGGACAGGTTTGGAGCCATGGGCACGGGAGGAAAGCTTATCACCCAAAGCCCTCCTTCTTACTTGCAAAAACTTCCAAGTGTATTTCTGGTAGGAGAGAAGGGGAGGAAACCCCATAAATGACAGAGAATATTTTGGCTTCAAATGTGGACTGAATCCTCATGTTTCACATTTAAGTGAAATCTTAACCTGTCCCTTGCCACTTCTCGAGTCTAATCTCGAAGTCTGGGTAATGTGCTTCCTCAAGGGAAGGGGTTCAAAGATCTGGGTTCATAAGTAGAGAAGATGAAGACCCCAGCAAGGGATACATTCTGGGGAGTGTGACTCCTATGCCCCCAAGCTTCTAGGTTGTTTTTGGCCTATAGCACAAGAGTGTAACTAAATTTCTCTCTAGGGATCAAATGTCAGGCAGACCTAAGTGACGATGGGGTTTGGCGTGAAGCAGACCTGGGTTTGAATCAGAGATCTTGGACAGAATCTTTCTGCTCTCTGGGTTTCAGTTTCCTCCAGAACAGCTGCTTCAGGATGCCCTTGTGAGCAGAAACCGAAGTGACATCTGCAGAGCAGATGGTATGGAGCACTTTGTACTTTCCCTTTCTAGCCTTATCAGAATTTGTTAGTATTGTAATTGTTTTCTTATTTTCTGCCTGCTTTAAGACCCTGGAACTTTACAAGGGAAGGGGCCTTGTATCTATCTTATGGTCACCACTGGATTTCCTCCCACCCACCCACCCATAGCATGGGGTCTGGCAGAGTAGTGATGGAATGAATGAAACCATATGCTCACAGGATTGCGTGAGGATAAGATGAGACCCAGTCATTGACTCGAATGATACTTATTAAGTGCTGCTTTATGTGCCAGGAACTGTTTTAGCTGTTGGGGAAACAGCAGCGACTAAAATAGACAAAAATTTATACTGTTAAAAAAGGAATGGGGCGCCTGGGTGGCTCAGTCGGTTAAGTGTCTGACTCTTGATTTCAGCTCAGGTCATGATCTCACAGTTCGTGAGTTCAAGCCCTGCATTGTGCTCTACACTGACAGTATAGAGCCTGCTTAGGATTCTCTCTCTCCCTCTCTCTCTGCCCCTTCCCTGCTTGCTTGCTCTCTCTCAAAAAAAACTAAACTAAAATAAAAGGGGGGTATATGGTGTGATGTTTTGATATACATAGGCATTGTGAAATGATTACTGCAGTCAAGCTGATTAACATATCCATCAGCTCATGTAGTTACAATTTCTTTTTTTTTTTTTTTAATTTGTTTTTTCAACGTTTATTTATTTTTGGGGCAGAGAGAGACAGAGCATGAATGGGGGAGGGGCAGAGAGAGAGGGAGACACAGAATCGGAAACAGGCTCCAGGCTCTGAGCCATCAGCCCAGAGCCTGACGCGGGACTCGAACTCCCGGACCGCGAGATCATGACCTGGCTGAAGTCGGACACTTAACCGACTGCGCCACCCAGGCGCCCCTGTAGTTACCATTTCTTAAGTGTGATGAGAACATTTGAGATCTGATCTCTTAGCAGATTTCAAGTGAGGTCTCCAGAACTTGACTCATCTTACAACTGAGTTTATACCCTTTGACCAACATCTCCCCATTTCCCCCACACCCCAGGCCTGGCAGTTACCATTCTGTTTCCATGAGTTCAGCTGTTTCAAGTTCCACATGTAAGTGAGATCACGTGGTGTTTGTCTTTCTGTGTATGTCACTGAGGATATAGTCCTCCAGATAGGGCACGTCAGATTTGATGAGAGGCAGGGAGTGTGATGGGTGGGTACCGGGTGGTGGATGGGAGCGTGCACTTGTTGAATGTGACTGACTTGGAAGGAGTTGTTCAGTGCTTTGATCCCTGGCCAGAGTAGGAGCCACCACTAATGGCAGCACAGAAACAGCTTTGACCAGATGATCTGTGAGCTGGCAACAAAGTGAGTCCTGACCCTTGATCCCCCGAGGGGCCCACGTGGCAGGAAGGGATGGTGCCTGAGTGTGTCAGTGATTTCCTAATGGAGTTATGAGAAGAGCACTGTAATTAGGAGAGGGTCTCCTGGACTCCTGAGAGCTCCTTCTGTCCCCTCAGGTGGCTTTACCGCCACCTTCATCTTCTGGGCTTTTCTATTTTGCCTTTTCTAGAAGCTCTCCCTCTTGATCTTAAGTTTATAGGACATGATGGGTGGGAGGCAGATCCTGACAAGCCCAATACACGTGAAATCTCCAGGCTGAGGACGGCAGTGAGCAGTCACGCTCTTCCAGCCACATTACATCTTTTCTCACTGGTCAGGTGGCTAGTGACATAGAGCTTCAGGACCACTCCTCCTCTGGAAATAGTGGCACAGGTAATTGTTAGAGGAAACCATATACTCTGAATCGGGGTGAGGGGTGTCTCCTGGCCTCTTTTCTCCATATTTTTAAAAATAATTTCAGGTTTTTTTTTTTTTAAGGTCTATTTATTTATTTTGAGAGAGAGAGAGCAGGGGAGGGGCAGAGAGAGAAAGACAGAGTCCCAGGCAGGCTCCTCACTGTCAGTGCAGACCCTGATGAAAACGGAGACCGTGACCTGAGCTGAAATCAAGAGTCAGACGCTTAACCGGCTGAGCCACCCAGGCGCCACTTAAGCTCCTTAGTTTAAAAAAAAAAAACAAAAAAAAAAAAGACGGAGAAAAAGGAATGCTTTCCTTGAAGCTTAACTTTCACTTCACCAGTGTCTCCTGGATCCCATGTCTCCCAGGTTTTTTCTTCCAGAGCCCAAAGCCTTAGGATTCCTGGGAACTGCAATGAATCCCATCCCTGCCTCTTGCTTCTGGATTCCAGCCATTTGTCAGTCTATGCAGTGGCCAGTGAGGCTTGGAAGAGGGTCTGCTTGTTAGGTCCTGCCATGCTCCACACAGGCCTATATTAAGGGTGTTGGGTGAGGGAGGGTTTGGGAAGAGGTGAAAGTCATGGCTGTGTCCTAGAGAAACTGACAAGCACTAGCTTAACAACCTAGGTGATGATGGGTGTGCTGCAGAACAGAGGGTGTGGTGCCCTCGTGGTGAGGTCTGCTGGGCTCTGTTCTGCCTCCTGGGGACTGGTCTTAGGCAAGACCTTGACCGCTCACTCAGGGCAATTCTTTTCTCGTGCCCTGGGCTGCTGCTGCCTGGTGCTGGGGTTCCCAGGGGGCCTGGCCACCTCCTCAGCACTGCCTGTGCCTTCCTCATCCACTGCAGATTCATGGGGTTTGAGGCATAGGAGATACAGATTCAGAAGCTGCAGCTGATGAATGGGTCCCAGTGACGATCTCTTCCAGGTCCTCCAGAGCTGGGGCCACAGGCTGAAAGGGAGGTGTGCAGAAACCCATCCTAGATTAGAGAACATTGCCCTCACTTCTTGGCTTTGCCTTCAAGAAGTGGTATTTGAGGAGTGCCTGGGTGGCTCTCTGTTGAGCATCTGACTCTTGATTTCAGCTCAGGTCATGATTGCAGGATCATTGGATCAAGTCCTACATCAGGCCCTGTGCTGAGTGAGGAGCCTGTTTGGGATTCTCTCTCTCCCTTAAAAAAAAAAAAAAAGTGGTATCTGATGTTTCAAGTAAGACCCACCCTACACCACTTGGGAAGGAAAAGGAAGCATGGAAAGGGTTAATTAAGTGGTTTGGTTCCCTTACAGCCAGTCTGGGCTTCCTCACCAATCTCTGTCCACATGGAGGCACCCTGGGAAATTGCACACTTAGAACTCATGCTATCTAACCTGTGCTCCATAGGGAGCTGAGCCTCAGCGGGATTAGATTCCTGAGGTTGCTATAACAAACTACCACAAACCTGGTGGATTAAAACAACGGAAATGCATTTTCACGTTCAGGAAGCCAGAAGTCCAAAATCAAGGTGCTGGCTGGCAGTTGATTTCCTTCTGGAGGCCCTGAAGATTCTGTTTTATGCCTGTCTCAGCTTCTGGTGGTCGCAGGCAGTCCTTGGAGTTCCTTGGCTAGTAGATGCATTATTCCCATCTCTGCCTCCACTCGCATCACCTGGGTGTCTCTGTCCTCTCCTCTTGGGACACCAAGGCCAAAAACCCAGGGGGCACTTTAACCTACATCCCTTTGCCACAGGCTGCCCTCTGTATCATTGTCAGTAATTAATACTTGCAGTTTTGTCAAAAGACTTACTGAGACTGATCAGAGGCCGAGGGCAGTGTGGACAGCCTGTGGGAATGTGTGAAGCACTCCTGCCTGTACCGGCTCTTCCATCAGTGCGGTGGTCTCTTCCCCAGTCCTGTACTGCCTTACCCACACCACAGGGCTGGGCTGGGGCACCTGGTGGGTCCCACATGGGTACTGCTCCCACTGACACTGTCCTCATTGTAACATTTTCCCAACAGGAACGCTTCTTACCATCAAAAGATGTACTACACATACTTGAAACCTCTTTTTTATAAATAGATCTTGTAGTACCTGTTACAACCACTTGGGTGTATGGCATGTCCATTAAATAAAACTCAGGTTACTTTCAAAGACCACAGCAGGGCAATTCATTTTTGTTATATCAACATTCTTGACAGAGACAAATAATTTACTTCATCTTGTGTATAGCTCTTTGATTAAAAATTCACTTTTGGGGGGGGCACCTGGGTGGCTCAGTTGGTTAAGTGTCTTGACTCGGCTCAGATCATTACCTCACCGTTCGTGGGTTCAAGCCCCACTCGGGCTCTGCGCGGACAATGTGGAACCTGCTTGGGATTCTCTCTCCCTCTCTCTGCCCCTCCCCAACTCATGCTTTCTCTGTTTCTCTCAAAATGAATGAACTTTTTAACTAAATATTAATCTTGAAAAAAAAAGACATTTGTTTTATAACAACATTCCATTCATATGTGTATCTTGTCTATACCTGTATCCTTTCACTGCATATAGTGATTTGTGTTGTACCAACCCAACATTCCAAGAGATACAGAATATATCACCCAATCCTCTGGCACAAAAAAAAAAAAAAAAAGAGAGAGAGAGAGAATCTTGATCTGAACCTCACATCTTCTACAAAAACTCAAAATGGATAAATGGATCATAGATTTAAATGTAAAGCATAAAACTGTAAAATGTTTAGAAGGCAACATAGGAGAACATCTTTAGGGTTGAAGAGTTCTTAGGACACCAAAAAGCATGATCCACCAAAACCCAAAAGCAAATGATGAACTGTGCTCCATATTGTGGAATGCTGAGTGGCAGTAAGAAGGAATAAACTACATGCAACAACTTGAATGGATCTCAGGGGAATTGCATTGACTGTTAACAGCCAATTTCAAAAGGTCCCATACTGTGCGATTCCATTTATGCAATATATTTTTTTCTGATATTCTTGAAATAACTAAATTCTAGAGATGGAGAACAGATTAGTGGTGGCCAGGGGTTAAAGATGGGGGACAGAGGTAGGTAGTTATAAAGTAAAAGCCTGAAAGAGCCTTGTGATAGAATAGTTGTGTGTCTTGATTATGTTGGTGGTTACACCAATCTACACATGAATAAAACGGAACAAAACTGTACACACAGATACAAATGAATGCATGTAAAACTGGTGAAATATGTCTAAGCTCTATGAATTGCCCCAATGTCAATTTTAGTGATGAATCTAAAAAGTTTAGCTGGGATACTAACAGTAGGTGGAAGTATCAGCCAGTAAGTACAATGTATTTTTCCTTATTTTTTTCCAACAGTCTCATGAAGCAAAGCCAGGATATCCTTTGAATGGATAGTCTTCTCAGTCTAGCCCGATCTGTCTTACAGTTAGTGATGAACACCTAAAGCCAGACTCAAGAAAGAATTATTAGTGAAGTTTAACATCAAAGAGCATGCATTCACAAGTGAATACAACAAAGTTATGTATTGCAAACACTGTTTATAATAGCCAAAGAATGGAACTTTCCAAATACCCATCAACAGGGGACGACAGTATATCCATGCACTGAAATACTGTCCACAGGAAAAACAGCCACTGGATTTTAGAGACTGGTATGAAAAAAGAATGTAAAATATCTCAATAAATTTGTTTATTACATATGGAAATGGCATTTTGATGATATTACATTAAATATAGTATATGAACATTATTTCTGAGATATGGAAACAACCTAAATGTCCATCGAGAGATGAACAGATAAAATGTGCTATATACATATAATGGAATATTATTCAGAAAAAAAAAAATTCTGCCACATGCGACACAAGTAAACCTGCAGGACATTATGCTAAGTGAAATGAGCCAGTCACAGAAGCACAAACTCTGCCATGATCTCACTCATACGAGGTATCTAGTCACTCACAGAAACTAGAATGATGGCCCGAGGAAAACGGGCAGTTGCTGTTGAATGGGTGTCAGATTCCACTTAACACAAGACGAGTGAATTCTAGATACGTGTACAATGTTGTGCCTGTCATTAACAATACTACCATGTACACATAAACATCTGTTAAGAGGATGGATGTCAGGGTGGATGTCAAGTTCAGTGTTTTTACCAAAAATGAACACACACGACCCCAAAGGGTACAAGGAATCTTCTGGAAGTGGCGTTTATTACCTTGATTACAATCATTTCACAGGTGTATGCATGTGTTCAAACCCATCAGATTGTATACATTAAATACGTGCAGTTTTGTAGAACAACTACATTTCAGTAGAGCCACCTTTTGTTTTTACTTTAATGGAGATATAAGAAAATATAAAATTACATCTATGGCTTGCATTGTATTTGTATTGGACTGCTCTGCTCTAGCCAGAGAAATGTTTGATGGTCACTGTCTGCTGAAAATAGGATACAAAGAACCTAGGGTTGGAAAGACTTCCCTGTATATCCGTCAACTTACCAGTGTATCATTTTTTGAACATAATGTATTAAAAATCAACTTCAGTAGTTCTTATACTGGATAGACTCAGAAATCCTGAATTCTCAGTTGCTAGGTCTTGGTTGAAAACTCTAACACCCTTGGAAAAACTCCACAGTAACCAAGTAATATCTTCACTAAACTAAAGTTACTTACATCTTATTTTAATCTGATAGTTTTCCTAACCCAAAAGGCCACATCAGGTTAAATGACATCCAATTTCACTTTGATGTTCATAGCTGCCAGTTCGGCTACAAAATACCGGAAAACGTAAGGCACAGAAACAGTGTCAATAGTATCGCTGCGATTACATAAAGTACAGTTGTACTTTCTGTTGCGCATGGCAGACCAAGAAGGCGGTGGCTTCTCCAACAATGGAGAGAGTAAACTACCACACTCCACGCACACGTGGGCTACCGATCGATCCGAACAGTTGAAGAGGCGGTCATGAAGGAGAAAAGATGTACCGTGGGCTAAAAGAGCATCCCGCTCCATTTCCCCAAAACGGATTCCGCCCTGGACGTTTCTTCCCCCAATAGGCTGGTTAGTGACTTTGTCTCTGGCTCCCGTCGTTCTAACCTGGAATTTGTCTGAGACCATGTGGCGTAAACGTTGATAATAAACCACGCCTATGAAGATGTCTGCTTCCAGTTCTATCCCACTGATGCCACTATACAGCCTCTCGGTGCCATAGAAGTTGTAGCCAGCAGCTTTCAACATCTCACCGAAGTATTCTAAGGCTGAGTTCTCCTCTGAAAAGGTGAAGGGTGTAGCATCGTGGCAGAGACCGTGCAAAGCAGCAGACTTCCCCGCCATACTCTCAATTAACATACCAATGGTCATGCGGGAGGGAAAACCATGAGGATTGAACAAAATGTCTGGGACCATCCCACTCTCAGAAAATGGCATGTCCTCAGCTGGCCACAACCGGCTCAAGATGCCCTTCTGCCCATGACGACTGGCAAATTTATCTCCGATAGTTGGGTTCCGAGGGACTCTCATCGTGATGCAAATACACTTGAATTTCCCACTGCCGGTGTCATTACTGCACACTTTGATGTTATCCACAATGCAATTTTCTTTACTCCTAGGAAAAAATAAGCAGACGGGAGGTCAAACTATGTTCTTTAAACTTACAAAGACACTTAAGTGTTATTGATATAATTAGTGCGTCATATAGGATATTTGCAAAACTTATTCCTACCTCTACTCTCCAGTACAAATAGAGATGGTGTCCCTACGAGTATTTACGAACATGGCTACTGATTACATTCACTACACAACTATGCCCATCTGAAAGAACGGCAACAGAGGCAACTGAAAAACTATGATGAAGACCTACTGTTGAAACAATTTTCTGGATGTAAAATAAGCTAAGAAGTTTTTAATTTTAATACAAGGCACAGTGAACTTGACATTTTAGCTAGGAAAATTCCTAACAACATGCCTGAGAGAGATGATCAAGTTTGAATAATACAGTTTTGAAATCAATCACAGGTAACTTATCAAACTATGAGACTGAAAAGAGAAGTAGAAAAACAAAGGCCATACAGCAGACACAGAACTTTGTCTCATTTAAGAAACGCCACTTCAGTTATGACTGAGTCAGTGACTAAAACCGTCACTTCTGTCTTCTCCAGAATTCTCCTGTTAAAAGATAACATTCACTGACCACCAGCAATTTCATTGAGAAACAGCCTTCACAAAGTAGTATTGGGTATCCGAACTTACTTATAGTAGATCACAAAGTTTTCCCCGGTGTTGAGGTTCAGGTAGCCATAATACGGATCTCCATACTGCAACTGTGCTCCGATAAATGGCAAGCCATCATCATCTAACTTCTGCAAAACCCGTGGGTCACCAAGTTTGACTCCGAACACCAGACTATCATCTCCTTGTTTAATTTTTTCAGAGAGATCTATGAACTCAGACTTGTAGACACTTCCATGGGCAAAGCCTCGTTCCCAAGAGGCCTTATTCACAATCTGTGAGGTCAAAAAAATCATTAATTTAAGAGACTGAGGCCAAATGGGGATTTTCAAAATTAAAACTAGTTAGAATTAAAATACTGGGTTTATGATAACTGCCATTCTAATTTTAAAACTCCAAATTTTCCAAGTCACCTACACTAATAAAACCCAGACACTTGTAAATGGCTTAAGACCTAATCATACATAAATATAAATGATAGGGGCACTTTGGTGGCTCAGTCAGTTAAGCATCTGACTCTTGATTTCGGCTCAGGTTGTGATCTCACAGTTCATGAGATCAAGCCCCACATCGGGCTCTGTGCTGACAGCACAGAGACTGCTTGGGATTCTCTCTCCCTCTCTCTTTGCCCCTCCCCCGCTCACATATGTGTGCGCTCCCTCGCTTAAAATAAATAAACCTAAAAATAAATAAATATGAAATGTAGACATATCCAAGACCTTATTCACTCAGCATCTACTCACACATCACTCAAATATCCATGATATATGCATATTTGAATATTTAGTGAATATCCCTCAAGGCTTGCCATTTTCTTTCTTTCTTTTTTTTTTTAATGTTTGTTTATTTTTGACAGAGAGAAAGAGTATGAGCAGGGGAGGGGCAGAGAGAGAGGGAGACACAGAATCGGAAGCAGGCTCCAGGCTCTGAGCTGTCAGCACAGAGCCCGACGTGGGGCTCAAACTCACAGACTGCGAGATCATGACCTGAGCCGAAGTCAGACGCTCAACCGACTGAGCCACCCAGGCGCCCCAAGGCTTGCCATTTTCAATGGAGAGTAGGAATTCATCATTTAACAGAACACTCTGGTGCCAGGACATGAAAATATTCCTTCAGTAATCCCACAGTAAACAAAAAAGTTAAAATGAAAAGAAATGAGGGGTGCCTGGGTGGCTCAGTCAGTTAAGCATCTGACTTCGGCTCCGGTCATGATCTTGCAGTTTGTTGAGTTCGAGCCCCGCGTCGGGCTCTGTGCTAAGAGCTCAGCGCCTGGAGCCTGCTTCGAATTCTGTGTCTCCTCCTCTCTCTGCCCCTCCCATGCTCATGTTCTGTCTCTGTCTGTCTCCCAATAATATAAACGTTAAAAAAAATTTTTTTTTAAAAAGAAAAGAAATGAAACTACATTCTCTTGGCAGAACTCACCATGGCATCTTCCATATCGTAGCCAGTGTAAGAAATAACAGCAACAATGGCATTTGTCCCAATTGGATAGTTATCCATATCATAATAATCATACATGTATGGTCTCACTAAAGGGCTTTGTGGAGTCTGAAGACGATACAGTTTATTATCTGATCGAGCTTGGTAAGTGAGAAGTGGAAAGCCCATAGTTTGCTTCCCTACAAAGGAAAAAAAAACCCTTAGCATCGTTTTCCCCTTAACTATAAAGGTCATATATAAAATTGGTAACAATAAAACATTCATCATCAGGGAATGAATAAATCAATCGTGGTGGTTCTGCTCACTACAGACTAATACACGGCATGAAAATGAAGCAGACCATGTGTATCTATGTAGCCAGACCATGAAAACGATGCTGAGAGGGGAAAAGCACAGAATGACATTTAATATTATACGATTTAGGCACACATCCCAGATAATTCCACTCCTAGTTTACGGACATGTGTATAATGTAAGAAAAGCATAAAAAGGATGCATATAAATTACAGGATATTACTAGTTGGGGGACAGACGGGGTGAAAAGCAGACAGTAACTATTATCTATCTACTTAGATTACTTCCTTACACACACACAGAACACAATGTCAGTATCTGCTAATTCTGGGTGTGGGGTACAGAGGGTAGGGAAGTAAGACTCTTCTTTGTACTACTTCACATTACAGAGAATCAACCTGAAACAAAATGATTTATAAGACCATATGTGTATGCATAGATACACAGTGAATTTTAAAATCTAGAAAAGGAGACTTCCAGCTTCCAGTAAGAGAAAGCTACACCTCAGCACATTAAGATCCAGAACAATGCAAAACAAAAAACCACCCCCCCCCCCGCCCCAAAACACACACAGTATGAAAGCACTGGAGTCAGAAACTGGAGAGGAATTCACACTTGGACAAAAGAAACAGTACAGAGGGAACTACTAGCTTTTTCAGTTTTTAATGTTTTTGCCTGATGGTTCAGTCACTGTAGTGGCTACAACTTGGATAGAAACCTACAGTCTTACCAGCCTACAGAACCAAGGAACAGAGTTCAGAACACAACAGCAACTGGAAAGTAAGGGGGTAGATTTTAGAAAGGAAAGAACCATGAAGAGCCTTAAATTCTGCAAATAAATGGAGTCCAAATCCTTGGCGGACTAAACTATGCCTGTGACAGATCCAAGCAGGCCACCTGAGCCTAAAAGAACATACTTCAACTGCTGTGTTCAGCTATCTACCAATTAAATCTAAAAACCAATCTTTTTGAAGGACCATAATAGAACTGACAATCTTTAAAATCTATCATTCACGATGTCATGGATACAATCCAATATTACTAGAAATACAAGGAAATAGGAAAACACAACCCATACTTAAGAAAAATGTAATCAATGCAGATGGATCCTGAGATGACCCAGATGTTAGAACCAGAAGACGGTGATTTTTAAAAACCTGTAATAACAATGCTCAAAAACATAAAGGAAAATATGTTCACAATGAAGACAACAACCTCAGAGAAAATAGAAACTATAAAAAAGAAACAGAAATGCTAGGCTAAAAAACTAAATATCTGACATAGAATGAAAAATCAGTGAAATTAATAACAGATCAACAAAATGATCCAACCCGAAGAGGAAAAAAAAAGATAGAAAAGGAGATTATAAACCAATGGCTTATAGAACGATACCTAAAGTTTTAATATACATGACACATAAGTGAAATCTCAGGAGAGGTATGAGAGAATGGGGCAGAAGCAGTGTTTTTACAATTAATGGCAAAAACTACAAATTTAATTACATCTTTTTTTTTTTATTTATTTTTTGACAGAGAGAGTGGTAGCAGGGGGAGGGGGCAGGCGGGGGGAGGGAGACAGAGAGAGAGAGAATCTTAAGCAGGCTCCATGTCTAGCAGGGAGCCCAAGGCTGTGGGGCTCATTCTCAGGACGCTGAGATGACCTGAGCCAAAATCAAGAGTTGGATGCTTAATTGACGGAGCCACCCAGGCGCCCCGATTAACTCTTTAAAACCAGATTTAAGAAGACCAATACACTCCAAGCACAAAGAACATCATATCTAGGCATATCATACTCAATCTGCTACAAATCAAATATAAAGTAAAAATCTTAAGGACAGGGGAGGGTGGGGGGGGTGGGGGGAGGAACACATTATCTACAAGCAATCAACCATACCCGTAACCACTGACTTCTAGTAAAAATGAGAGACCAAGAAGAGACAGTTTGATACCTTTTAAGTGCTGAACAAACATAACTCTCAATTTAGAAATGTACATCTATTTCCTTCAAGTGAAGATCAAACAAAGACATTTTCAGAGAAATAAAAACTAAGAGGATTTGTAGCCAGCCACCTAAACTATAAAAAATGCTAAAGGAAGCTTTTCAGGGTCAAGAGATATTACTTGGAGGTATTCAACGGAACACGGAATCATCAGGCAGGAATGAAGAATACTGCAAGTGATAAGATGTGGGTGACTACATGGTTTGTATTCTTCAAAAGTCAAATCACAAGACTTCAAACAAATCCAAATTGACAAACATTGTACAAAATAAATTACCTTTTGGTTCAAAAACATCAATGTCAAAAGTGACAAAGGCTAAGGATCTGTTCTAATTTAAAAGACTAAAGAGACATGACAACTAAATGCAACTTGTTATCTTGGACTAGGTGCTACGCAGAAAAAAAACTGCCACAAGCCATATTTTTGGGACAATCAGTCAAAATTTGAGTAAGGACTATAAAATAGTATAACAACATCAATGTTAAATTTCCTGATTTAAACGCTTGCCCCGGTTACGTAAGCGAACATCCTTGCTGTTAGGAAATACACGATGAAATATTTAGGGGTAAAGGGGCATCGTGTCTGTAACGTCCCTTCAAATGGAAAGCGGGGCAGATGAGACAAAATGTTAACAGAATCTAGATAAAGGGTTTATAGGAAATCTTTGTACCATTCTTGTAAGTTTTCTCTGAGCTTGAAAGTATTTCAAAATAAAAAAGTTACAAGAGCTTTTCTTCTGTGTGAATACCACCACCACTCTCTACCCCCTCTTACCCATCTGGCACTGGTACATGTTCCGAGGACTCTGGTTGTGATCAGAGAAAGGGATGAAGTTGGCGATCACACTCAGCAGGCTGTGAGGGAAGAGCTCCTGGTGGGTGGTAACTCCAGCCAAAACCTCATCCTCGAAGATGGCAATGTTCATGAAGATCTGGAAAAAAGGAAGGGCGAGAAGTTCAAGGCACAAAATAACTGACTGCTAGCATATTAACTCATCTTATCTCTCAGAGTTTAGGACTCAAAGCCTTGAACGAAAACCTTCCCCACTCAACATCATGAACACGGACAGGATCCACTGGGAAGCACGGGGAAGCTTCCAGTTAGAAATATCACTTACCTGACCCGTGTCACTCTAAATCCACCCTGGTTCAACTGTGGAAGATTGGAAGAAAGAAATTTTTAGGTAGCACAAAGCCCACAGTTTCCCAACTGCAAAGATGGAGGCAAAGGCGGTGAGTGAGTCTAATGGAATGTTCCCACCTCACCACCTGAGGCAGAGTCAGGTGCATAGGAGCTGGGCAGGATGGGAAGGCAGGTAACATGACCATCAACCCTCTCTCTCGATAGGTGAGCGGAGGGAAGAAATGTGAAAACGGCTTTGTGTTCATCATAGAGGAGACAGAGGTAAGTTCGGATTTTCTTTCAAACTCCTGATGGTTATCAAACAGCGCTAACATTTTTAAAAAGTAGCAGTGATTAAGTCTTCAGAAGTCATATACCACACGAGTAGGTTCAGGCACCAACACAATGCTTTGTGTACCTGTTCCATAGTCCCAATTAGTTCTTCTTTGCCTAATTCCAAGTTCTGCACAGGCCGCACAAGTCTACAAGGAGTGGTAAACAGGAATAACCCTGGGTATAGACTTGGTTTTCCTGTCATGGGGATAAGGGCCACTTCCATCCAGGGAGGAATTCTTTTTTCTCTCAACACCTGTTTTCAACAAAAAGAGAGTTCAATTAAGAAGTGATGTAGGGGCACCTGGGTGGTTCAGTCGGTTAAGCGTCCAACTTTGGCTCAGGTCATGATCTCGCGGTTGGTGAGTTCAAGCCCCGTGTCGGGCTCTGTGCTGA